TTAGAGAGAGAGAGAGAGAGAGAGAGAGAGAGAGAGAGAGAGAGACAGAGAGAGAGAGAGAGAGAGAGAGAGAGAGCTAGGTGGTGCAGTGGATAGAGCACCAGGCTTGGAATCAGGAAGACTCATCTTCATGAGTTCAAATCTGGCCTCAGACACTTACTGGCTATGTGACCCTGAGCAAGTCACTTTATGCTATTTGCCTCAGTTTCCTTATCTGTAAAATGAGCTGGAGAAGGAAATGGCAAACTACTTCATTATCTTTGCCAAGAAAACCCCAAGTGGGGTCACAGAGAGTCAGACACAACTGAAACAACTGAACAACAATAACAACAACAGAGAGTAGTTTATTATAACTAGAGGATTAAAATGGGTTTCCTTCAACACTTACCCTGGACTGCAATATAAAATCCCACCATTTCAGGGGGCACCTCAGTGGCTATCTGGTTCAACCCGTACCCAGAAGGAATCCCTGACTGTTACATGCTTGACAAGTGGCCCATCTGGAGGCACCCCATTCCTCTTTTCAGTCAGATTTAATTGTTAGGAAAGTTGTTGGTTTCTTCTTTTCTGATATCAAACCTAAATCTTTCTCTTTGCTACTCTGACACAGAATCATAGATTTAACCCTTAGAGATCATCTAATCCAACCCTCTCATTTTACAGAAACTAGAGGCCAGGGCAGCTAGGTGGCACAGTGGATAGACCACTGGCCCTAGAGTCAGGAGGACCCGAGTTCAAATCTGGCCTCAGACATTTACTAGCTGTGTGACCCTGAGAAAGTCACTTAACCCTAATTGCCTCCCAAAACAAACAAACAAAAAACCCCAAAAATTATAGGCCAGCGTAGGTGGAGTGGCTTATCAAGAGTCATATAGTAAGTGACAGAGCCAAGATTTGAACTCAGGTCCTCTGACTCCAAATCTAGCCCTCCTTCTATTGGACCACACTGCCTCTGCCCATTGCTCTTAGTTTTGGCTTCTGGAACCAGGTGAAACAAATCCAGTCTCTTGAATTGGCCATTACAGGCCTTCACATACTTGAAGAAAGCCATCTTATATCCTCCACACCCTCAACCTTCCCTTGTTGAACCAAAGATCATTCGTCAATTGATCCTTTTTCGACATCTACTTGAGGTCCTTGACCATTCTGTTTAACTTCCATTTGATGCTGACTTTTAAATGTCCTTAGATTGTGATACCCAGATCCAAATAATAATTTATGTCTGGCATGATTCTGGGGCAAAGTATTGTCCATGTAATAAGAGTGCCTACTACATGCCAGGCACTGTGCTAAGCTCTTAACAATTAGTATTTCATTTGGTCCTCTCAACAACCCTGGGAAGTAGATGTTTTTATTTTCCTCATTTTACATATGAGGAAACTGAGACAAACAGAAGTTAAGTGACTTGTCCAGGGCCACACAGCCAGTAAGTGTCTGAGACTGGATTCAAACTCAGGTTTTCCTGACTTCCAGACCCAATCCACTGTGCCACCTAACTGCCTCTTATTCCTAGAAACTATGTCTCTGTTAATGCAGGCAAAGTTTGAATTAATTTTTTTGGCTACCACATCCCATTGCTGATGAATGAATGAATGAATGAATGAATGAATGAATGAATGAATGAATGAATAAATATGCATGTTCAAAGTACCTTACTAAGCAAGGGGAGTGGAGTGGGAGTATATATATAAAGCAAATACAGTCCTATCAGGTTGGGTGGGGAGGAGTATACTTTGTGGTTTGAGTGTTTGAAATATCAGATATTTTAAAAACAAAATTTATCAATACAAACAACACATTTTAAAAAATAATTTCTCAATTTAACAAGCAATGAGAAACTCATTTTCTTGTTTTTTAAGGCAGTTGGGGTTAAGTGACTTGCCCAGGGTCACACAGCTAGTGAGTGTCAAGTGTTTGGTCTGAGGCCGGATTTGAACTCAGGTCCTCCTGACTTCAGGGCCAGTGCTCTGTGCCACCTAGCTGCCCTGAGAAACTCATTTTCAAGGAGTTTACATCCTAAGTGGAAATACAATTCACATAGGGGCAGTAGCCAGGCCTTCCCTCATCTTATACTTTCGGTTGATTTTTTTTTTAAACTCAAGTATAAGGCCTCACTTTTATCTCCATTGAATTTCATCAAATATGAAATTTAATAGGATATTCTGAAAGAGCTACTGGTATACCAGACTAAGAAAGCAATAAGAGAGTGGTGGATTTCCCCAGATTCCAGGCCTCCATCATATTCTCTTTTTGCTAGGACTTTGATGGCTACCACTCACAGACACTTTCTCTTTCAGGTCCTTCAATGCAAAGGCAACATCCAGGTAGGCTCCTTTTTCTGCACCATGTGGTTTCCTCCAATCCCCCATCCCTCCCCTTCTCCGGATTCCTTAGTAATGAGGTCAGATTAGTTTCCAGTTTCTGAGGCCCCGTCTCTGACACCAGCTCTTTGGGTGGGGTCCCCCAACACCTTTTCCCTCTTATTCCAACATCAGCTGCTCACCAGGTGGTTGTGGAGCCTGGCTGACCCGTACTCCTTCTCTCCTCCCCAAAAAGTGTGCTCTGGGGCCTGCCAGCCTTTCCAGTTCCGCTGTCGTGATGGCTGCTGCATTGATGGCTTCATGGAGTGTGATGAACTTCCTGACTGCCAGGATGGCTCAGATGAGTCTACCTGTGAAAAGTGTGAGGTTCTGGGAAGGGAGTGCCTGGAATCTTCTTGGTGATACCCCCCAGAAGGCCATGACTCCCCAGGGTGGGCACGATGAGAGCTCTGATCCCCTAAGCTGAGCAAATCTCATGGGTCGGGGGTCCCTGGAAGAAGTTGGGGGTTAAAAGGAAGGAAGGGGTGGAGACGAGGTATGACAAGTTCAGAAACAGATGGGATCGGGCCGGCCTGTGTTTCCTTTGCTTCCCTTGGCTAAGTTTTGTGAGTAGGTCTGGGGCTATGAGTCTTTCTCCTTATACAGATATCACAGGCTTTGATGAGCTCCAAAGCATCCACTTTCCTAGTGACAAAGGTAAGTGACAAGATTTTGGGGGCTTTGGTTATCCTTTTTTTTTTTCTCAGAGGCAATCAGGGTTAAGTGACTTGCCCAGAGTCACACAGCTAGTTTGGCTACAGGCCAAATTTGAACTTGGGTCCTCTGGACTCCAGGGCGGGTGCTCTATCCACTATGCCACCTAGCTGCCCCAGGGTTATCTTTTCCCAGCTCTTCTCTCTCCAACAGGCCCCAACTCCTAGCCCTATCAGCCAAACTTACCACCTATGATGGGTCACAGGCAGGAAAGGATCAGGTCCCTTCCTTTTCTTTCTTTTTTTCTTTTTTTTTTTTTTTGTGAGGCAATGGGGTGAAGTGACTTGCCCAGTGTCACACAGCTAGTAAGTGTCAAGTGTCTGAGGCCAGATTTGAGCTCAGGTCTCCCTGAATCCAGGGCTGGTGCTCTATCCGCTGCACCATCTAGCTGCCCCCGGGTCCCTTCCTTTTCAAGAACATGTCCTGTTCCTGGGAGGACCTGCCCGGAGCCAGATGTCCTCATATAAATTTCCAGAACCACATCAGCCCTTCTGACCCTTTCTGTGCAACTTAGATTGTGACCCAGTCCCAGGATGAGGTAGAAAATGGGACAAGTGCCCCAGGTCTTTGTACTAGTGTATTCAGGTTCACATTCTAAGCTGTGAGAGGGAGTCTTGGGGTAGCAGATAGAGCGCTGGCCTTGGAACCAGGAAGACCTGGGTTCAAATCCCTCCTCTGACACCTATTGACCCTAGGCAAGCGAAAACCTCTCAGTGTTCTGGGCAACTCTCTAAGATCTGCATTGGCCAAGTGAATTTCTAGGAGTTCCCTATAGCAAAGAAATCACAGATCCAGTCTTTTATCCTGAGCTATATCTGCCCTTTTTGGAATAGAGTAGGCCCTAGGTACTTGACTGACCTCTCTTCTGTTCCTTCTGCAGGACACTGTGTAGATTTACCAGAGACAGGGCAGTGCCAAGAAAGTATCCCTCGATGGTACTATGACCCCTTCAGTGAGCGTTGTGATCTCTTCACCTACGGAGGTTGTGATGGCAACAAAAATAACTTCCCGGATCAGGAAGAGTGCCTCAAGTCCTGTGAAGGCATCTCCAGTGAGCAGGAGGTTGGGGGAGGTGGAGCAGGCTGAGGGATCAGTTGGGGACAGGGACTTAGGCTGGGATTATGATGCAAAGCGGAAGGGGGGGAGGAGGGAGGGAGGGAAGAAAGGAAGAATGGAGGGAAAGAAGGAAGGGAGGAAGGGAGAAGAGAGAGGGAAGGAAGGGAGGGAGGGAAAGAAGGAAAGAGGGAGGGATGGAGGGAAGGAAGGAAGAAGGGAGGGAAGGAAGGAAGAAGGAAGGGAGAGGAGAGAGGGAGGGAGGGAGGGAGAGAAGGAAAGAGGGAGGGATGGAGGGAAGGAAGGAAGGAAGAAGAGAGGGAGAGAACAGAGGGAGAAAAGGAAGGAAGGAGTTGATATGGGAGGCAGAAAGCCTGCTTTTAAATCCTGGCTGTGTGGTTAACTAACTTTGGTCTCTTTAGGCCTCAGTTTCCTCAACTATAAAATGAGAGGATTGGATTTAATGAACTAAAGTCCCTTCCAGCTCTGTCTATCATCTTAAGAGACTCTCAGGCCCCACTATTCTGTCCCCATCCCCACTCAAAGCCTCACTGTTCCCTTAAAGGAGTGGCTTGGGGTTGAGAAAGGAGAGAGAGAAGAGCAGCAAGTTATATTTCAAATATAATCCATTAGACGTGTCTCGTCCCCTATTACATTTTTTTTTAAATTAATACTCTTTTTGTTTGTTGAGATCATGGGCCAGATCTCAATACTGATCACAGAAGTTTTCATCTGCTCAGTCTTTCCTACTTGTACCTGTTCACCCCTTTTCCAGCATCCTGGTGGCCGTTGTGGGGGCTTACCTGATTAGCAGTGGATATGGTGTGGATACCCAATAGGCTTTAATCCTACTCCAGGTTGGGGCTCCTGAACTCAGTTGATCCACCAGCCTTGGCTTCCCCCAGAAGCAAGGATTGCAGGCCTGCACCACCCTGACTGATACTTTAAGAAATAATAATAATTTTTACTTCCCAGTGATACACCCTCCCGTGTAACAAGTAGTTACAAGTAGGAACTTAGCTGCTACTAACACCTTAATGCATTGGCCCTGTCTGGAAATGGATGCCTGATTCTGTCTATAGACCACCCCTAGAGTTAGGAAGCATGCTTTGCTGTTGGTCCTTTAAAATCACAATTTCCTATAATCTGTATCAGATTGCTTACTGTCTCAGGGAGGGGAGGAGATAGAATTTGGAACTCAAAACTTAAAAATGTTAAAAATTGTTTTAACTGGGGGGGGGAGGAATTTAATTATTTTAAAAAATAAAATATCTTTGCAGAGAAAGATGTGTTTGGCCTGCGGCGAGAATCCCTGAATCCTAACACAGGTGAGTCTTACTCTCACATGGGGCCATCCCTATAGACTTCCTCCTAGCCTGGTGCCCTGGAGACTTGGAGATAAAATCTTCCTTACTTGCCCAGGGTTTTGAGGTCCTCTGTCTCTGGTCTAGGTCAGTGTCTCCAGGCTTACTGTTTGACTCTCTTTATTTTCTTTGGGGACAGAAGAGAGTGGCAAGGGCCAGAAAGGCATGCACCATGAATGACTTATACCTCTGCCCTCCGCCATGTTACGTCTCCTTTCCAGGTTCCTTGTCAGGTTCTGTGGAGGTGGCTGTGGCTGTGCTCCTGGGGACCTGTATCGTGATTGTGGTCGCCATCCTAGGCTATTGCCTCTTCAAAAACTATTTGAACAGAAGACTCCGACGTCATCACCCCCTGCATCACCACCACCCTCCCCCTACACCAGCCAGCTCCACAATCTCCACCACTGAGGACACGGAGCACTTGGTCTACAACCACACCACCAGACCCCTCTGAGCCAGGGGCTTCCCTGGGTAATGTGGGCCACGAGTTCTGGCCAGCTCTAACTTAACCTTGCCCCGCCTCCTTAGTTTCTGTTCCCATTAAGAGTGGAGAGCCAGCC